GAGTCCCAAATTAGTAATAAAGAAGACGTCTTTAGTTCAAATTCTCTTCTTCTCAACTATTATTTGTAACAATGAAACAATTCTCTGGTGACTGGTCAAATTTATTCTAATATAGTATATGTTTTCTGTGCGTACTCGTTTTGAACACAAATTACCATGGCAGAGAATATTAAATTTTTCCAAATTAACTTCGAAGCTTATGGATTTGGCTTCTGTATCCTTCTGCAGGAACAGATTCTCTTTTGGTGTACAGTGTAACAGTACTAGAATTCATCTCTGGAACTAACTAGTTGGGCTTGTTTCCAGAAACAAAACCTGGGAGAAGAACACTAATATTTTCTCAAAATGATCCAGACAAGAACCAAGCCAGAAGCCTCAAACAGGAACATATGCATGTATGCTTTTCTGACATGGTAAAGCACATTGTGTTTGTTACCCCATGCCATTTTCCATGAAGGCCACATTCAACATTTTCAATGTAAAAAACACAGAATTCAATGAAACAATTAAATTAATAGTCTAAAATTTGTAATGTTGTGTTAAAGAAAATTAGATAAAACATGCAAGTTGATTATTCTTCCTGACTGAAAATCAATAAAAAATGAGACATGCAGCCATTTTTAGAGATAGATAGTTTCTTGGAAACCCAGAATTCAGAACTGAAAATAAAGTGGTCATCATAACTTAAAAATATTTATATCTGCATTGACATTTAACAATCTAAGAATGTTACATTTTGATGTCAGCCATATCAAACCAGATTTGCTCAAAGGCCTTGACAATGAGATCATGATATTCGTTTGAGTTGAGTGAGAGATAACAAGCAAGAAGGTCTTCCAAATCTTTAGATTCCCTGATGTTGTTCTCCACAATCATCTCCACCATCGAGTCTCTGAAGTCTTTCTGCGGATCAACTGAGGACTTAACAACTGCAAAGCTCTCCGAAAGGCGTCTATTCTTCGACTTCAAGCATGAGGATGGTGATGGTGATGACTTTTAAGTCTTGGAGAATTGCCTCTAAGTCTTATACCTGTTGTTGAGTTGGCAGAGGACTTTCGAACTGAATTCCGGTTGGCTTTTCTTTGGCTACCCTTTTGTGTTCTTATGCTTTCCTCCTTGACAATCTTGACAGTGAGAGACCTCTGCCCTTTTATCTCCTTCAATTTAGATGAACTTCTTTTGAACTTGGTTGCCTCAGTGGACTTATGATGATCATCAAATTTCATTGGCTTTGTCAAAATTGGAGGAAGCTCTAGCTCTGAGATCATGTCAAAGCCATCAAGCTTCTCATCGTGAATTTTCTTCGTAGAGGCTCCATCTTTCATGTCAATGATGGTATCAGAAGTTGAAGAACTAACTCTGCAATTATAAGAGCTGGACCATGGGGCTAGCCCATCCAATGGGTCAGGACCACCAAATTGGCGACATTCATATTCAGATGGGATCAATTCATGAAATTCAGGCTCACTGGAACTTTCACTAGAAGAGCCAAAGTAATCTGGAGATTGAATTGTGTTGGTCTCAAGATCAGTCCAAACTGAATCAATTGTGGCATGACAATTACAATAGGCTGGTGATGAGACAGAGGATGTTGTTGAGACATGCTTGTTAGGAGAAGGCTTGTAAACAGCTTTTCTTTTGGCTCTTCTGGTTGATAATCTTCTGGGGTGTTCAGGAAAATGTGTGTCTGAGGCTTTGGGGTTCACAGGTGAATTATAGAACTTGTCAGCTCTGTTGGGTTCTGTTGTGAAGTAGTAGGAGTATCTTCTGGTTTGAGAAAGGTGGGGTTTTTGTTGGGGTGGTGTAGAAGTTGAGGTTGGTTTTTTCTTGGTAGAGTGATGATGATGCTGATGAGAGGTTTGGTTGTGGTTTTTGGTTTTGCTCATGTCTTTGAGCTTGTAAAACCAGGCATTTGGTATCATATCTGACAATTTGAACCTGTGATTACCCATCAAGAATGAAACGACTCCCTTCCTTTTCTGTGTCTCACTGACTCACTTGTATCTCTCTCTCTCTCTCTCTCTCTCTCTCTTATGAGTTGCAGGAGTAGTGAAGATAGCAAACAGTTAAAAGAGCTCAAATGTTTAGCGAGAAAGCAACAGGTAGCAAGTAAAATATATGGTTAAATAGAAGGATTAAGCTCAATTGAATATGCCAAAGTTGCCCTCAACTAAATATTTTTCTCTCCATTTCCTTTCTACTTATCCAAACAAGCATAAAAGAGATTGTAAATATATCTCTTGTCTCCTTTCTTTTATTTTCTTATTATTTTAAGTTGTTTCTTTTCTATTGTTTCAAAAAGAAGAATATTTGTAATGGTTGCAAGTGACCTTTTAAATGATAAATGTAAAATGAGTGTTGAAAAGAACCAAAGCTACATAGTAAAAGTTGTTTTAAGGGAATAAATATTTGTGTTTATTTAGTACAACTTAAGCTTGAAGGGTTCTGTTTTTTATTTTATATTTAACAATATAAAATAATATATAATATAAACAAAGAAGCAAATTAGAGCTTGGATTTATTGGTGCTTTATAGGCATTGTGCTGGCTCTTTCATACCACAAATGAGTTGTTGTCTCTTGAAGGATTGGCAACCTTTTTTTTTCTTTTTCTAATTATTTTTTATAAAAAAAAACCTATCTGGCTCCTCCTCCTTTTGTTTACCTAAAGGAGCCAACACTAATGATGATATTTGTCTACTAAGTGCTGTATATCTTCCCATAATTTCATGCTTCACAAATGATGATATTCCATATCTTTTCCAAGTGCTTAATTTCCACAAGGCCCACCTGCTCCTAAAGCCATGGCTGGAAAAGCTATGGCTGACCAATTTTCACCACTGTTATTAGGCATTATCATGTATTGTAAGTTGTTACTCTTGTTATTCTATTTTCCCTGCTAAGGGATTTTATTGGAATTTGGAGAGTAAACCGCAACTATGGTCAGTTCCTCACTCACGGATGGGTAATTTTTTATTATTATATGAGACTCACATTGCATCAACTACTGATTAGAAATCGCACAAATTCGTCAGTAACGTAACTTAGAGCAGCTCCAGTGCGAGAGAAGAGGCCCGAACAAGAGCTGGGTCCCACCAGCCCGAGCAGGCCCAAGGGCAAGTTTTGCCTGAGCTTCAGCTCGAGGGCTGTGACGTCAGCACTGACGTTATGCTAACGTCACAGCACGGTAATTCAAATTTTTTTTACCGTTGACGCGTGAATTACACACGCTAACAGCTTGCCATTTGGACCCATAAATGGCAAGCTGTCACTATTCACATGAATAGTGACAGCCCTTACTTGCCATTACCCTAAACTTAGCCATTATGGGTGGAGATGCTCTTATAAATCATGTGCATATTTAATTTTCTTCTCCTCTCTTTAGACTAAAAGTCCCCTTGTCTAATGCTCGAAACTAGGGGACATCAAGCCGAGTTGATATTGACTCCTGTGTGAAGAGTTTAAATGCATTGCGATGGCATCAAAAGAAATCTTAACATCATTAAGAACCAAGTAAATATCAGAAAATGAAAGGAAGGAGAGAAACAGAAACAGGGTTCCGAGTTGTCCCCACAGAGAAAAAATAAACATACTGCTTGTTAACAACATCTTAAAATATGAAATAACATCAACTGCTAAAATATCCCTTCACAGCAATTGGTCCCAGCCAACTTGAAGATTAAGACTCCTTGAACAATACATTCCAATTATTTTCCTTCGTTTTTATTTGTTTTTCTTTTGAGGGTTAGTATAGGCCTGTGAAATAGGTCAGAATAACCCATCTCAGTTCTCAGTGTCCAAGGTCCAAATTTTAACTGACTTTAGGTCATTTCAGCCCATTCAACAAGTTGGACTAGACTGGGCGATGGTACCACTAGCACCCTATTATTGCTAGCCCGTAATTATTATTATTATTTTAAAGACTTTCGATAATTTAGGAGAAACGTTCAATCAATCAATCCTCTTATCTTTATATCTCAAACCGAGCTGAAAAACTTGTATGAAATGTTACTATTAATGTACCCTATTATTGCTAGCCCGTAATTATTATAGTATTATTTTATTATTTTCGACCAATTATGATCTGTTATGTGAAAAAGTTATTAGACGTGACATATTATAATTGGCCAATAATGCTATTCCCGTCTCATATAAGTGTTTCTCCAAACGAGAGATTCATGCATTGGGATCTAGTGGGAGCAATGAATCTGGAATATTTGGAACATTTCATGTATGAGGAGACGAGACGTTTTGAAAGTAATGTTTGATGAATTACATATTAATCAATCTTCGACTTGCGTGTGGGTCTGAGGTTATGGTTAAAAAAGCTTGGTCTAAAATAAGTCACTTTCTCTTTGTCATTTGCACTAGTGTCACTCAGAGAATCTCATAATGATATCTTGAACTCAGATTTCATTAAAAATAAGAGAAAGTTCCTTCTTCCTTTTTTTAGCAAACCAAAGTGGTAATACTCTTACAAGACCTTCTAAAATTGATTCGGCTCCTTACTCTCTCCCTTTTCTCACCATTTTCCTTGAAGATTAAAGCTCAATCTCCTCCTCCTCCTCCTCCTCTCTCTCTCTCTCTCTCTCTCTCTCAAAACTTTAGTCTTTCAAACTTCCTTTTTTAATTCGACCGAAGTTTAGAGCCAATTTGGCATTATTGTGTTGTGAAAATAATCGTTGTCAAATTTTTTGTGAGAGAAATCAACTATGAACGAAAACAGTTTGGCGTTTGATAAACTTTTTGTTGAAAGTGATGTTGATACAATAATTAGTTTATGAGTTTTTGGTAAATTTTTGTGTGAAAATGTTGTGAGTTGTGTATAATGATTACAAATGGCACTATGTTGAAATAACTTTTCTATTCAAGTGTTTGATAAAAAGAAAAGTACTTTCACTTTCTTTTACATATTTTTTGTGTTAAATATGTTTCCATCACACCCTAAACATTATTTTAATCATAAAATAAATAAAATATCATAGCAAAAATATAGTGTCAATAATATGGTCTTAACAACAATTAAGGTAGTCATAAACAAGGAATCATATACAATTTCTTAGTGAATGAGCTCATTAAATTGGCGGCTATATGATTTATCAATGCCTCCATTTTTTGAGCTACCAGACCATGTTCTTGGTGTGCATCAACCTCTAATATAGCAAAAAATCAAGCTACCATCCTCCTATGTTCACTCACTGAAATCACACAAAATATTTTCATTTGACATGCACACTGTCATCCTCCCTATTTTCACTCACTAGAATCACACAAAGCATTTTCATTTGATATGTACGCCACTGTATAAAACAAGAAACTGTTATATAAAACAAAGACATGGTGAATGGTGATTAATTCTTCTAGCTGTGATGTGAGTCATTGACAGAACACTGGGATATATAACAAAACAAAGAGAATAAGAAAAGAATCCCACGGTTAGACAAATTATTAATTAATTTGTTAATTAGAGTAAGGTATTTACGATATGTTTATGGAGGGTATAATGGAATCATAATAGCTGTCAAAGATTGGCAAGCTAACCTCATCATAAAAGTAAAAGACAGAGCGTGACAGCTGATGAGCTAGGAAGGGAAAGGCATATGGAAAAGCTTGTACTTTTGCCTATTGGATCTATATAAGAGTACTCGTACTTTTGTATTTGTGATGAATGTTGACCTTACTTAACCCGATACAAGCATAAAATTCATCACAAAGCATCAATTAAAACCCTAGAAATTAAATCGAAAGGGAATAATGAAATTTAGAATAAACAAACCTAATGTGTATCTTACCTGAGTCTTGTGGCTTCACTTCAATTGATCCAACAACAACAAAAAAAGAAGAACAAATATGGAAGATGCTATGAACAGAATGAATAGTCCAATGAAACTAGCAAGTACTTTATAAAAGATGCTATGAACTTTATACCTGGGGAACACCAGTTGTCTTGCATTGAAGTTTCTGAGGCCACAGCTCATAGAGGTCCTGTGAAAGAGAAGAGGTGTCAGATGACCTAATATAAGGTATCATAAGAATTTGGATATCCTCAACTTTGTCATAAGCCAAGGGAAAAGATGACGACTATGCAAGGAACATATAGTACCTTGAATAATTTTGCTTTTAGCAATTCTGAATGTACTTCGGAAACACCATTCACAGTATGGGAGCATACAATCGCCAGGTTTGCCAATCGGATACTGTGTCAAATCAAATGGTAATTAATGGTCAAATTGCTGAGACAAAGACATGGAAACCAGGTAACCGAGTTGATGACTTTTCTCCAAACTTCTAAGAGAGTACATTTTCTTCAGAAACATGCAGATAAAGAAAAAAAGAACAATAATGATAAAACCATGTTTCTTTCTTCAAATAAGTGAACATGATTTCCAACATAATGGTGGAAAAGAAAGAAACTATCATGCACCCAAGACCTCAAAGATGTTTAATGTTTACATGGTTGGACAGGGAAATCACAGCATGATTATTATACTCCAAAATCCTAAAGTTTTGAGAGTTCAAGCTATCTGTACAATTCTTAACAAGGAATGCTAACTGTCCCAGCATCTATAAAAACCTCAATGATAGGCATAATGGGAAATCTTCATCTCATTGAAGTAGCCAGTTTCTGCATGAACATATCATCTTTTGATACAATACAACGCATATTCAAAATATATTATAAATAAGCAATAAATAACTGCATTAAGAAGAAACAAGCAAACCTGAAACAAACGGTTATCGGGGTACAACACACTACTTATATTTTCTGCTTTCTGTCTACAAACAACAGCATTGATGTAATCTCCAGTATTATAAGCTTCCTGCATGCGCGGATCATTGCATAGAAAAATTAGTCTCACCTAAAATTTGTAGGAGGCACGAGATGGATTCTATTGAAACATGAAAATTGGATGAGAGAATACTGTAGCTACTCTTTCATTTGGGATTTCCGTGGGATATTGATTAAAAATGCATTTCTTGAAATGCATAATGTTTAATGTTAGTCAAAGACACAGAAAAAAAATTTCAAACAAATTAATCACAACTTCGTATAAACTGTTTCTAAAAGAAAATATGATGTGTGAGAAACAGGCAAATTATCTACTCACAGGGGTGAAACACAACTCCCGGATTCCGCAGAATGAATAATTTTGGATACAGTATCTATCAACAACGTCAGGAGAAGTGCTTTTGGGGAAGGTAAATAGAAGCAAACCACTCTTTGTCAGCTTAACCAGCGAAAGAAGAGGACTTGTGTCTCCTTTCCCATCCACCTTCGCAGGAGACAAAGGAGGACCATTTTGATGATCGTCTGTCATTGCCATTATGATTACAAACAAGTGATGTCACAAAACAGAAGCTCGGCATCTAATTGAATACGAAGTAAAACTAAAAGCGATAACATTAGCTTCCCAAGAGTTCACAGTAGCCTCCTCGCCATCTGCATTCTCTTTGGAAAGCTCCCTTCTTTTAGAAACGGCTTCTTCTTCTGAACTGCAACTATTAAAGCACTGAACATAGTGAAAACATGGACATAGAAACAACTTGTTATAAAAGACTACTGATTTCAGCTGAAAGCTAAGATGAGAATCATGGGTAAAAAATTGAAGAAAAAATAAAGCTTCAAGACCAAAGTGAGCGATCTTGAGCTGGAATTGGCGGAGTTTGCAGAGGGAGGAATTGTGTTTAAATAGTATAGCCGAACGGCTATAATCTTTAAATATTCGAATATATTTAAAAAGTATAGCCGAGCGGCTATACGTCTATACTTTTTTAAAATACGACATGTTTACCTCACCAACGACAACGACAATACAATATGATTATAGCCGCGCGGCTATACTCTATAAAGATTCGAATATATATAAAAAGTATAGCCGTGCGGGAATACGGTTTAAATATTCATTTAGGCTGTTCTGTCCGTGTATTTCTTTCAAACTATTATACATTCATGTTTGTATTCTGATAATAAACACGACAAGGAAATTACTTTAAAATGAGCTCTTTTCTCTTTTTAAGGTCAATTATTTTTATTTTTTTTTGTGGGTTTGAAAAGATGTTTTAAAGGTTAAGCTCTATTCTTTTTATTTTAACTACATTATATCTTAGATAAGTTAAATATCTAATAACACTAGTATTCAAACTTAAGAGAAATATAAAGTTAATACTTGGTCCTTATTTCAAAATAATAACTTATGACCCCAAGTAAGCAACGTCAGACGGGAATTTAAAGGCATGATTGCAAGAACACCTTAAGGATGTGTTTTGTTCTATTTTATGAATTATGATAAAAACATTGCTGGTTAACTACAATAGAAAACATTGTGGGAGATGCATTTTATATTGGATGTAGGCTATACAATCAAATAAGATTTCCTAAAATATAGGAAGCATGACATTAGAGCACATTGGTGGAGATGTTTTTTAAAATTCTCAACACCCTTTTTGGAGGAGAGAGGTCCAAAAGCCGCGTTAACGCAGCTAATGACACCCAGTCTGAAAATTAGGACTTTTCTCAACCCAAAAAAAAAAAAAATCAAGAGAGAGAGGTTTACTTCATTTCATGGTTTGCCACTTACTTGACTTCCAATACGTGAACCCCATTAATATTAGCACCCAATGAACAAAGCACAAAGTCTCCCTCCATCTCTATGTAAATCCACCAAGCAAAAACAAAAACACAAACCCTCTCTCCTTTTGTTACACCAACTGTTGTTACAACAGAGATTTTCTCAAAAGCAAAAGCACACACCACTTGTGCTGTGCTCCCAAAACAAGCAACAAAAAGGCAACAGAATCACCATCCCTTCAATCTCACTCTGCTTCCAATCATTAGAGATGAGGTTGAAGGCACCAATTGCCTTAAGATCCAAGTTACTCAAACCATGCAGAAACTTGTTACAAATTTTCAGATTCAAACTCAAAAAACCATTCTTTATAAGAGCCCTTCACTCTCGTCCTCATTACACCAAAGTTGAAAAGGCTCAAAAGGTTCCGAAGAAGAATCAGATAACGGGGTTCCTGTCAGCTTTCTGTTCAACCCGGAAGCCAAAAGGGATGGACAGACTAGCAGCACTCAAGAGCTTCTCTGAAAAAGGGGGTGATGGAAGGCATTATCCATCACCCATTACACCGGCTTATATGGCTGGAGAACCGGTGGCTTCGGGTCATGAAGAGGTGCAAGATGCATGCAGGAGTTTTGAGAACTATTTGGTGGAGATGATTATTGATGAAGGGAAAGTGAGGGACTTAATGGATGTGGAAGAGCTTCTCTACTGCTGGAAGAACCTGAAAAGCCCTGTTTTCATTGATTTGGTTGGTAGATTCTATGGAGAGCTGTGCAAGGACTTGTTTTCCACTAGCAGTGATGAAAGTTCATAGTGATTCTTCAATATTCAAATTCTTTCTTTTAAAGGCATAATTTTTTTGTAATATGGCATGTAAATGCGGAAATGATATATTTTATCATGCTTCTTCATTCTTCACCAAGGCACCAAATCCTCTCAAGGATACCATTTCAGAAAAGCAAAATATTGATTTCGTTTGCAGGTGGTACAAACAAAATCCAAAAGAATTCAATGCACAATCTGATTAAATTGTATTGTACTCCAAAGCAATCATCATTAGAAGTTCTGCAAATGAATCAAGAAACAAGCAATGCATTCCCAAAGTTGAAGAAAGTGGCTATGACTAAATTCTGGAAAGAAATAAAAAGACACATGGAAATCAAGAACAATATCCATATAGATGTCTATTTACAGTTTAGAAAGTGATTAACCAGATTCTTGCAGTCTACCACATCCATATAGATATGTCAAAACTTGAAAAGTGGACATTACAAACTCAGATTTGAGAGTTAAATCGATTTAACTCTACCAGCTGTAGTTTGGAAAACTCCGACAATTGCTCTCGGCTAAGTTGAACTAACTATATTAACATTTCATAACAAAAGTTAGGTTCAGCTGAATTACCAGTTGGTCAGTGAACTGTAAACATTACCAAGGGACGATTACATTTTTGGTTTTGAAACATACACGCGAGACCTCACAATTGTCTCTCCAATTCTAAATCCAGGCATGACCATAAACTCGACTTGTCCTTCATCCAAGACAGCTGCACCTTTGCCATCTTCCTCCACAGATTCCATATAAGCATCTGAGAATTTGCTTCCTCTTTTGACAGCAAATATTTTTGCTTCAGAATCTATCGAAGGTGCAATGCCACGTAAAACCCAAACCCACATTGCCATTCTCACAAATATTTGATAGAATGAAGTCCTTGGATGCTTGCCACTCAATACAAGTGTCCTGTGATCCAGATGCCCAAAAAACCATGATTCCATCATTGGATGAACAACTAGTAGATACTTTTCTCCGCAGAATCTGGCAAAATCTGAATCTGGGTTCTCTATCAGGGCATCCATTGGGTCATCATATCTCATAATACCATCCACATTATAAGCTTTCAATGACATCCCATAAAACATTCTCCTTGCAATGTAGGCTTCAAATGCGTACTTCTTGTGGGACCTTTTTGAATATGCAGCTTCCACTTCCACTGCCTTTGCCGCAAGATCCAAATCCCAGCCTGAAGCTTTCATCAAGCTAATTAAAGGCTTTGCAAAATCATGAATGGATTTTGACGCAGCTCTGTAAGCATCCTGAAATGTAGTAATGTTCAAAACCCGAGCATTCTTCCTTTGCAAACTTATCTGCCTTACATTCTCAGCCAGTGTCACATTCACCAAGTCCAAATCTCTGAGCTCTTGTTGCAGGCAGATTATATCAGAGTTCTTAACTTCCGTTTGAAACTTCAACTCTTCCAGCAGCTTCTCATTCAGTTCAACCTTCTTCCTCAGGATAGCGGAATGAGATGAATCAGACTTGGGCTTCACACATTGCGTCTCCTTATACACACGCTTAATCTTGCAGAGAGATTCAAGCTCAGCCATAAAATGTTCATCTGCAGCTACAATCTTTTTCGGGTTATAGGGTACATGAGCTTCCTGAAGCTGGATATAAGCTAATTTCAGAGCTGACACAATGTCAAACAACTTGGATAACTCGGCATCCCCACACATACTGCTTGTTCTCGTAACTTCCATGGGCTGGGGATGGATTTTTACGCCATCACGCTCTGTATCCTCGGTCACATCACTTCCATCTTCACCAAAAGGGACACTAACGTTGTTGGGGTTGTTGGGATGCTGGTGATGGTGATCTTGGTTTTCAGAGGTAAACACACCAATGGATCTCAACTTGCAAACTTTGGCAAACTTGGAGACAATATCAGATATGTTTGAGGAGGGTTTAAGGGGTTTGGTAGTAGCAAACTCCATTCCTTCTTCCTATAAAAGGTCAAAACACTGAGAACTGATACTGCAGATCTAAATACCAATGGCACTAACAGCACTTTTGTCTCAAAATGGGCGTAGCATATCCATGAAACCCGGCTAAGAAACAGCCCACTAATATAACACTTGCACAGTTGCACGAGTATTATATACACCAAAAACCCCAAAATAATGCAAAGCCCTTTTGAGGATCAAAGACCCAAAATCAAACTAGAAACAGAGACCAAAATTTCAACAAGGACAAAGCCAACCATGTAGAACTTGAGTAACAGCAAAGCACAAAAAATACAAAAAAGGGCAGAGGACAAAACTCAAAAAGGAGCAGACTTTTACAAAACCCAAAAGCCAGACAGCAAGAGAAGCGATTCTAGAGCAGCAGCAGTTGCAGAGTAGAGTACATGCACAACAACAACAGCATTTGGGATTCACAAAACGAAAACTTACAAACCAGCAAGTGAAGGAGCTAAACGACGGCGTTTCAAGAGCTATATCGTGTTGTTGGTCTCCACTGTCCAGTCTGAACAAATGGGTTGAGGCTTGAGGGGGGTTTGGTTTAGTGCAGCAGCAGTAGATGCCATAAAATCATATTTTAAGCAAAGCATTCATACTGCAAATCACATATACGCGGTGTTTGGAAAAATGTGATGCGAGGTTCAAAGTTTGGTGATTTTTTTTAAAATAATATTTATTTATTTTATGGGAAAGGGAGCTAAACCCAACTTGGAATCTTTACTGTTTGTGTTTCTGAAGAACCCTCCTGCTCTGCCTGCCACCATTTTGAAATTCTTGCTCTCTCTCTCTCTCAATTTTTTTTTTCCTGCTTTTTTTAATTTTAGATTTTTAGAGAAAGAGGCGCACGTAGTTACCAAAAAGTTATAAGAATTAGGGACCGCACGCGAGTTTCTTTTAATTTCTGTGTCAGAGGCTCTGAGCGTTACGCAACCCAATGCCGCTGTGACAATTTTCTGCTGCTTTTGGATTTCCAGATTCAATCGCAGCCGTTTATCGAAATTGAATAGGAGACGACGTCGTTTCAGCTGGACCTGTGTGGAAAGCTAACTGCTCAGTGCTGATGACCAGCAAGGTGATCTGGATTGAGTGATATTGGGTTCATAGTCCGGTTTTGGGCTTATAGTCGGATTTCCCGTTTAGCTCATTACCATTTTTTTCCAACAATGTTAAGAATGTCACTAAACTAGATGGTTATCCGTTTCTAAATTACATTGTCAAATTTAATATTGTCTACAATATTTCAAATTCAAATTTGTTTGAGTTTGATAAGTTTGGATTCATACCCCTAATTTAGGATCAAAGTTCGAGCTTATGAGTTATTTTTACACCCGTAACGCATATGATTTTTCGAAAGGCTTTTAGGGGCAAGGCCTCTTAGCAGGAAAACCAAATTTGGATAGGATGAAGGCCTAGTTTTAGAAACTGTAAAGTGGAAAGTGTAACTAGAACTTAGAAGAGAAGTTTGCCTTGTTGTCGAGATGGGTTAAACTTAAAATGCATGATCACGTGAAGAATCTGAGCTGAATGGATGTGTTGGTAAATGCATGCCTAAAAGGGACAAGAAGTGAGTACAATGTTAGAAAGTGGGAGAGCGATGCAAGCAAACTCCAAAACTTCAAAGCATTAAATATTGAGAGAGTTTGCATGAAGCCAAGCTCATGAAAACGATAGAAAAATGAGGAAGAAGGGTGGAGGGGCCGTCTTTATTCTCTCCCACCTGCATTCCTCCTATATCCTAGTCATCTCCTTCACTTCTCTGTTTTTTTCTTCTTCCTGTTTTCACATATGGAACTCTTAATTAGTTAATAGTTCTTAGTCTTGGTACATTATTACCAATACAAAATCATAAGATAGATGGTAGATAGTGTGAATAACATTCCATTAATTTGCGATTTCAATTTTGATTCTTAATTTCTAAGTGTTACACGCTCTTTTCGCTTGTATTCTTGCACTGAACCAAAGAAGTAAAAATAATATTTGTTACTATGGGAGTGTTATTTGCACTCTTCCGGAATAGTACAAGTATCAACTGCATGGTCAAATAACAAGTTTGAAATATACTCAATTTAGCTTGGTGGGGTTCTTGTCTGTGATAAGACAGTGAGTTATGCTTTGGTAGACCTCTTCTGTGGTCCTATTTTCTAATGAACAAGATATGGTAGGCCTCTTTAAATCTAAGATCATGAACGGGGTTGGACAAATGGAGACACAACACCTTCAAGAAAAAGATATATGAAAACCTCGTAATGTTGGATGGAGAACTACAAATAAAATATGAAAATGCAGATATTATTTGCACTTCTACACTACATGTATTGGAGTCATCGCATTGAGGGAGTGAGAATATCCTCCATTAATTTGAAGGTCCGATTTGTTGTTCAGTACTCTTCAAGAGAGAAATACTAAGGGCAGTCGCTCATGATTTTTTAGATGTTCAATATAGTAATAAGTCTTATATATGTATTCACAACTAAGAGTAGCTCA